GTTGCAGAGTAAAGCGCAAGCAGAGGAAAGTGAAGGCGAAGATAGAGAAGAAACCGAGGAGGAGAAGAAGCTGAGAGTGAAAAAAGAGCTCGAAAAGGTCTTTCGCGCCCTTCTTCGTTCATCCATCGCTACATAAAATGAATTAATTCGCAATAGAAATTCAAATTCAAACTTCGATTCTAATCAGATTTAGATCGCTGCGTGAGAACAGGTGGCTCAGGAACAGGCGGAGAGGAGAGCGACGGCGCAATTGATGTTCGAATTGGGCCAAAAGGCTTACGGAAGAGGCATGTACGGACGCGCCATTGAGTTTCTCGAAGCCGCTTTGACCATCATCCCCAGGCTGACACTATTTGGCGGTGAGGTTGGTTGATAGCAACGCCGTCAAAGTCAAGGCCACTTGAAATTTGAGCAGCGTTTAGCAGAATTGTCAAAAGACTAACAACAAATTTGTTTTTCCTTCTCCTTTGTGGTATCAGATTCAGATATGGCTGGCAATGGCTTATGAGGCGAACAACCGCCACGCAGACTGCATTGCTCTGTACCAGCAATTGGAGAAGAAGCATCCTAGTGTGAGCATTCGACGGCAAGCTGCCGAGCTCCGGTACATTTTGCAAGCACCCAAACTGAAGATTTCACAAGAAGAGATGGTTACTATACCGCTGATTGGTTCTAGCTACGACAGGTATGTATGCTTTTTGTCCTTTTGAATATGGCATAAAATAATGTAGCAATTGACATTAAATGACTTGCTTTTATGTTGATTAACCACATTTCCTTTCAGCTCCATTTTTGCATCTAGTTGTTTGTTACCCTTTTTGAGAGTAAGCAAAGATACATTTTCTTCCTCAATCTCACATGTTTAGCTGGGAATGGCATCTGATGATATTCATCAGTTCTGAGAATATTATAGGAATATTATATGAGTTCAAAGTAGGGGAATCAAGATTAAATATTAAACAATAAGAGAGGTTGAGTCATATGATCTTTCTCATACGACCATCATCATGGTTGTCCATCATGCCTACCCTATTCATCGAAACACTTAACACGAAATCAAATAATCAAAGGATCACTATAATATCATTTATCACATAATCATTCCCTTTTTAATTTTTCGAACGATAAAAAAAAATCAACTTTACCGTTAAGTCTAAGGGTTCATAACTAGCTTACTAATTTTCTTGTACGGGATTGCTGCTAATTATGTTAAATTATTCATTCTTGAACCTTGTTAATTTTTCTCTCTGCCCACATTCAATAACCAGCTTCTGCCTAGTATTGTACTGTTATTTTCCATCTCTGAATATTTACATGCAGGTTTCAAATAGCGGAATAAAAACGTTATAGCGGCCGCTATTTTGCGGTAGCGCCGCCGTCTGAAATTGATATTGTCCGAAATAGCGGTATGAACGCGGAATCACACCAATAGCGGCCGATAGCGGTCGCAACTTAACGAGTAGCGGCCGATCGCGGTGATAACGGCTCGTTATTCCCTTTATTTTCCGTTACACCAAATCAGTTGAATACAACAAAAAACGGGGTGATTCGAAAACAAAAAAAAAACAAAAAAAAAAAATATAGTAGAACTCACCTTCATCGCAGGTAGCCGGAAAGCTTGAAGGTCACCAAAATCCAAATTACCGTGAGGTAATTTCTTAGATATAGGGCTTGTTGTTTGGTTTTAGGAAAAATGGGTTTTAGATTCAAGTTTGGGGGAACAAAACGAGTCTTCTGAGACTCTTGGACCATCCCTGACACCGTGGTTGGCCGTCGCCGGTGTCCATGATCGATGGACTACACGGTCGAGGGGACTCTAAAATTTTACTTGGCTTTGAGCAAAATAAAGAAATGATTTGGTTATAAACAACCATACGTGCGACGTCGTTTTTAAAGGTGAGGTTTCATGAATTCGACACATGGGTAAATCGCTCGATGAGACCCTTTTCATTTGTAAATTTTTCTTTAAGTCATCAAATGAAAATTTCATCTTTTCGATTCAAGGTTATAATTTTGTTTCAATTTTAGTTTAGTCCCCTGCTTGAGACTTTTATGTATTTTAATGTGGTCTCCAATTTTTATGCGTGTTGCAATTTAGTCACGTTTAGAGACTTTGTTGATCTTCTGATATGAATCTTTTATTTTACACATTTTCATTTTAGTAAGTTATAATATGCTATTTTCGTAAATGAATCATAGTGGGTAATTTATTTTTATCCATTTTGATTTTTTTAGAGTTTTTTTATGCCGATAGTCTTATTTCTTTATATAATAACTCTTTAAAATTATAACTATAATTGTTATATTTTAGGATAAATTGTGTGAATTTAAAAAAAAATCACGGCCGCGACACCTACAGTGACCGCGATCGTATCCGTTATGTCCGCAACCAAGATAAACGCGACGCGACCTAAATCGCGACCGTTAATGCTATTCAAATCCCTGTTTACATGTTCACCATTTTCAACTTTGGTAGGTAATAATTAGAGCTAATTACATGCATTATTTGAAAAACATTCAGCTATGCAGCAACATGGACAGATAAGAACAAGGACAAGGATCAAAAGGCAATCGGATCGACGGCCAACCAACTTCCGTGGTCCAAAGACTTTCTGGATGATTTTCTGGTGTGGCGACCTCCGGTCGGACTGGAGAATAATAGAGCGTTTTGGATCGCTTTGACAGTATGGTTTGGCTTGGTGGGAGCTGCCGTTTTCCTACAGAAATGAGTCCTGTCGTAAACAGAAACAGACTCCTCCATGATTGGCATTGTTGGACCATGTTACATATAAATATGTTCATTTAATTATTTATAACGACTTGTTAATGTGATATTAATGATGTATTTATGAATCAAGATTACATGATGTATGTGGTGGATGTTGAATTGAAAGAAACTTGATTACCAGTTTACCACCAAAGGGTGAATGGTTGATGGACGATTTCTTGGGTAAAGAGTGCACTCTTCTTCATTAGACAGATCATACAAAACAATGGAAACTGGGTTGTGCAAGGCTTAAACACGCAGGATTGTTACGTAAATTTGTCCAACAAATTTCAATTTCATAATCGAGTTGTAGAATAATAAAATTAAGAAAAAGTATGGTCTCTTCGACTATAAAATATTATTTTATTAAGTCATTTGACTATTAAAAGTCATAAAATGACCATTCAAATATAAGAAGTTACTTTGTTGAGTCTATCGACTATGACAAATTACAAAATGATAATTCGACTATTCATTATGTTATAAACTCATAATTTTCTGTTAAAAAATTAACAATCGTCTAAATTGGACGTTAACATGTTGATTGAGATATGATAATCGTTTGAGATTATAAGATCATATTTTATCATATCTTAATCAACAAGTTAACATATAATTCAAACTTCCATCAAACTTTTAATGGAACAAAACAAGTTTAAAACATAATAAATAATCGAATAATCATTTGGTAATTTTTAATATTCAATTGACTCAAAACATCAATTCTCTATAATCAAAGTATCATTTTATACCTTCTAATAATTAAAAAAAATTAACAAAATAATATTTTATAATTAATATTTTGTGTGTGTGTATTTTACCTTAAAATATCACGTTGACATTGAAACCGTTATTAGAGAAAACAGCCGCAAATTATGAATATAAAGCCGACCAAGACAAATATCGCACGACCCAAATACAATACTTTTTTAAGTTACAAATATATAATTTCTTTCTATTTCTATTTTCTTTTATCATTAACAAGTTTTTAAACGATAAATACAATTTATTGTGAGTTTTACATCGTTGGGAGTTTTGATGCAGTGGTTGTGGTTGGGTACTCTATATTTACTCCCTAAAATATTGGTGATACATGTTACCATCTGATTAAATAAAAAAATTATTTAATTAAATAAATTAAAATTAATAAAAAATATCCTCTAATCATACATGGACATGTGTCACTAACGACACATGTCATAATCTTGTGTTGACATATGTCGAATCCTGATTGAATAATTAATTTATTAAATTAAATTTAAACTAGGATCAAATTGAAAGAATATATAAATATTAAAGATTAAATATATAATTATGTTAAATTTTTTAATTACCACGTCAATATTTCCATCAACTGTTAACAGTTAGGGGTTTAATTGACAACAATTAAATTATTAGGTGGTTTGATTGATAAAAGTAAAATGACTAAAAACTTAGATGGTTAATATATAGTTTACCTAAAATGTAATGATTAAATTTATTAACTATTTTGGATCATAAAATGATATGTTGTATAAATTTTAAGAACAAAAACTATTATTATATCCAATCACATCCCATTATTTAACTACAAAGTGATTTGTTTGTAATAATTTTTTGATTGAGTGACAATTGACATGTTTGTAACTTAAAAAGGTAACTTGTTTGTTATCAACTCCATAATTTATTTAATTTAGGGTAAATTATATAAATAGTTTTATGATTATAGAATATTGTTTTATTAAGTCTTTCGGTTATTAAAAGTTATAAGATTGTCTCTAGATTAAGGAAGTTGTTTGTTGAGTTCTTTGACTATTAAAAGTTACAAATTGGTTACTCGATTATTCATTATGTTTCAATTTAGTCCTTTTTTCGTTAAAAAATTAACGATCATCTAAGCCCGATGTTAAAATGCTAATCGAGATATGATATTCGTTTGAGGTTGTGAGATCATATTTTATAATTTTTAAGTCGGTAGGTTAACGTACAACTCAGACAATCGTCAAAATTTTAACGAAAAAGGATGAGTTTGAAACATAATGAATAGTTGTATGATTATTTTATAACTTTTAATTGTTAAAAAACTTAATAAAATAACTCTCTATAGAGAATTATATTATAATTTTTAATAATCAGACGATTTAATTAAAAATATCATATAATCAGAAGACCATTTATGTACTTTATTTGTAATATAATAATTTAAAAAACGTATAATAAGCTACTTTAATTAAAAGTATTTTTCTGGACAAACTCATCCCTCAATCTCATCGTCTCCATTTGGATAAAAGTAGTGCAGAAAACAAGTTAAAGGTGGAGCCAGAGGTATGCAATCTCTTAAATCCATGGAAGCTACTTTAATTACCATTTCAACTCCTTGTTCGTATTTATTTTGTCGCTACCGTCTTCTCCGTGTAGCTATTCCCATTCGTTAGCATTCGTTTACTGCATTTGTAGTGTCAAAATTTCAATTTATATAAATTGGGGTTTTCTTCCTTATATATACGTTTCTCAACATCTATGATACTTTTCCATGGATTTCATTTAGTAAGTAATAGATTAGTCTTCATATGTTCATAATTATGCTTCAGTTTTCAGTGAAATAGGTCAAATTTGGATATGATGCTTGCATTTGCAAAGAAAATGAGAATGGGTTTGATTAAGCTCTTGATTGTTTGGCATGAAGGTAACCACTTTGGCCAAGAAACTGTAGCTGCCTCCCAGAATACACTCATGTAAAGTAGCCAAATTGTTTTTAGATAAAGCTTAGAATGGCTCTTAATCTCGCAGCAAAGATTTGTGTCCCTAATGCCAACTCAATGAAGAGACCTGAAAATAGATGTAAGCAACAATGTTCAACTACTCTTTTACCTGCACTTCTAGTGTTCTTGTTTCTTTTTGTATCTTTTTACGGTCCATGTTCGAGGTTCGTGATTACCCCTCCCGACGATGTAGATCAATGGTTTGAATCTAGGTTCTCTTTGGGAGTGCAATGTGCAGTGTTGGTGTATTCAAATAATTGATTTTTTATATTTATGTTTCTGATTTGCCTTTATTAAGCTTTGGTCGCACCAATGTTTGGTGGTGTTAAGTGAAAGGCACTTGATGTCCCTTATGCAAAGTGAGTTTAAGACGGCTTCTTCGTCTAGGGCGGTTACCGGATTTACAAATTTGTTGCTCATCGATTTTGATTATTTGTTGACTGTTTTCTTTCTGCAACACAGCAGGTAAATTGCAGTTCAGGTGTTGCATTGTTGCATTGTGTTCATCGAGTCGTCGTCACATAATAGCTCATACCGCTGCTTCATTGTCGGCTGTTGTGACCTTCCACTGTGTTTTAACTCAAACATTACCGGTACGGGCTGAATCAGATGACCGAAAGGAAGAGGGTGATGAAGGACTTGTAGGGGCTTTCAAGTCATTGTTGGATCCTAACGAGAAAACAAAGTCCGGAAAAGTGTTGCCAAAGGCCTATGTAAAGTCGGTTAGAGAAGTAGTGAAGACGCTCCGTGAATCGCTACAGGAGGATCCCAAGGATGTCGCTAAATTTAGACGAACAGCGGATTCCGCAAAAGAGTCTATCCGAGACTATTTGAGTAATTGGAGGGGACAAGAGAAGGTGGCTCGCGAGGAATCGTATATCGAGCTCGAAAAGGCGATCAGGTCTTTGGCCAGTTTCTACTCCAAGGCAGGTCCCTCTGCTCCATTACTGGAAGAGATTAAGAACGAAATATTGAATGATTTGAACACAGCTGAAGAATGTTTGTAGCATATACCGTGAGGCATAACAATGACATATTATTATCTAGCTTGTGTACATTTGGTTAAAGATGAATAAAACTCGGTTTGAATTGAATTTTTTTCTTTGACTTTTGATTTATTCAGGTGAAGTTTGGTGCATGATATAAGTGCTTCGCAATTGGTGTGAGTGTACACATCATAAGTTATAGTATAGAAAATATATCGTCTCTACAGGGATTGGTGTAACTCTATATTCTAACTTCTCGCACTATGAAAAGGAATAAATTGGCAATAGTAGGAGTATGAATAAACAAATAAAAAAAAAACAAGAAAATAAAAGGACTGAGATTGAATAAGAGAACAGGTTGGGTTATCGTGATTAGTGGTGTGACAATTGTCTGGAAAGTCTGAGTAGATGATTACCGAGACAATTTGATTGCCTTGACAACTGAAAATAATTCAATTGCCGTAGCAAGTGGGTTTCTACCTTTAAAGCTAGGCAGAGTGTTCTTCAATGCCTTATTGTTATTTCTAACTTCAAAGAATTGGTTAATTGTGCATGCCCTGATGATACATCCTTGTGTTAACCATGGGTGGACAACAACCAATCTTGCACTCCTTTTAGCTGTTGAAATTCGAATCTTATCTCTAAGATGGAGTAGCCTTCACCAACGTTCGTTCAAATGAAGACCATGCTCATTCGTTTCTTGAAGCTAACTCTCCCGAAATTAGATAAATGGATAAACTCTCGAGATCCTCTCTCAATTCACTCGAAATCAATTAAAGAACCAAAAATGAACAAGCTTTGAATTAAAAAGACAATCAAGAACTTAAACAAATCCAAGAGTTTTCACAACCACAAAAACCAACAATCCTAGCAAAATAGATTTAGTTCATGGATGGTTTTAGAAAGAACATAATGAAAAAAAATTATAAACATAAATTGAAAACAAAGAAAATAAAGAAACGTAAAAAACCTAGCAATAATCTCTTACCCTCCCCAGCGTGCCTCTCCTTTGCGTCTTGGTTCCCTATTTATAGGAGATGAGTTGGCCCAATTAATTCTTGTTGAAGAAGAATTTTAGTTGGAAAAAAGATTAATTAATTCTCTTTTATATTTATATTTATCTTTAAACAAGACTTCTTCTCCTCTTTAACTTCTGCTTGGAAATCCAAACTTCTAGGTTTTATCCCTTGTTTTGTGGAGTTTGACTTAGATGGGATGAATTTATCCGGCCAGCTTTATCATGCACAAATTAACACATACCAGAAGTATATTTTTAACAAAATCAATCACAATGCAATATCAAACTTAACGATGAAGGAAACTATGAAATTATGCATGAATGACTAATAATGTAACTAGACCAAACCTAAATCTAACAAAAATCAAAGTCACTATTGTCAGTCCCTGGCAACGACGCCAAAAACTTGATGTGTGAAATAAGTGCTTCGCCATTGGTGCAAGTGTACAAGTCGCAAGTTATAGTATCTAAAATATCGTATCTACAGGGATTGGTGTAACTCTATATTCTAACTTCTCGCACTATAAAAAGGAATAAATTGACAATAGTAATAGTATGAATAAACAAATAAAATAAATAAGCAAGTATATAAAAGTAGATTAAGATTGAAAAAGAGAACATGTCATGTTATCGTGATTAATGGTGTGACAACTGTCTGGAAAGTCTGGGTAGTTAATTACCGTGGCAACTCTATTGCCTTGACAACTGAAAATAATTCAATTACCGTAGCAATTGGGTTTCTTCCTTTAAAGTTCGGTAGAGTGTTCTTCAATGCCTTCTTGTTATTCATAATTTCAAAGGACTGATCAATTGTGCATGCCTTGGTGATACATACATGCGATAACCATAGGTGGACAACAACCGACCTTACACTCCTTTTAACCGTTGAAATCTGAATCTTATCCCTAGGATGGATTAACCTTCATGCATTTCTTAAATCTAACTCTCCCGATATTAGATAAATGGATAAACGGTTTGAACCACGAGTTTGACCCTTCATGCGTTAACCGTTCTTCTCCTCTTAATTAATTCTCGTTCCTTGTGCTATCCACGAGTTTGAACCATTGGCTCGAAGGGTCACACGTGTTGTCGTTATTTATACATTTGCAACTTCTTGTGATGATAGTGTTGTCTGACGCTACATCGAGACAAAAAAAATTCCATCCCTGAATTTAGCCGAGACATCTTGGAATTTGATATCATTTCCCATTTCGAATTCGAACCGGTGCAGAAAATGTTGAGTTTCGCTGATGTCCTGGATTCGCCAGCTTGTAAACATAGATGTGTTCTCCTTGCTAGTAAAGTCTTATGGGGGAATAATTCCAAGCGTAGGAGCCGGCGCAGGGACCTAACCGCAACCGGTGGGCGAGTGATTTCCTTGTGACACAAAGCCCCGTTAAGGGATGGAAGATAACTTTGTGCGGTTTGGCTTCTGACAAACCTTGACCTGCATATGTCATTGCAGAATAACAAAAGATTTGCATCAGATTTTTGGTTGACATAAACGATCTCGAATAAAAAGAAACTAATACACGTCGATTTACCTCGGGAATGAGCTTGGAGTGCTGAAATTATTTGTACGAAGCTCGAATTTATGGGTGCACACCAGTTATAATCCAAGGCTCCGTAGTGCTCGTTTAACCCGACAACTCCTTCTCTCACATAATAGCTCCCGGTCGGTGTCCACATGGCCCAATCCAGGTCAAGCTCAGCTGCCACACCCATGAAGCAGTTCAAGTACCTATTGCCATTGACACTGGTTCCTGTTTGGTCGATCCCGAACTCACTAATGAACAACGGGTTTCAACCAAATACCCAAATGTGTTCAGCATGTATGACGCCACTTTGCCACAAACTTCGTTTGGGTTTCCGGTCACCCATGTTTGCATTCCATCGGAGGATCCATACCAATGCTCCTCGAATACTAATTTTTCACTGAACGTTAGTTTACCGGTTGAGTCTTGATGAATGACAAGTCTCTGTCGAAATCAAATCCAGAAAGTATGACGAAAGCATTCGGGTTTGCCGAGTGCACTGCTTCGGATCCCTTTTGCATGTACTTATACCAATCGTTTACATTCTGTCTCGAGCCTCTCAACTCATTCCTCAAGCTCATGCCGACCACTTTGATGACACCATTGAATAAGGTGGCCATCCGAGTCAGCCCGGTGGTCCATTGATCCCTGTTGAAGTACTTGTCACCAAAGAAACCATGATCGTCTAAATTATTGCAGCACCAACCGGGTTTGCTGATGTGATTGTCGAGTATGACCATCAAATTGTTTTTCCCTAAGCTTGATATCACTGCCTGAAATATAAATACCAATCAATAAATCAATGAGGAGTTGAAAAATCTGTGATACCTGGAAAGCTTCGATGAGGGAAACATCAATGATCGAAGGGTTGTTGGCTTGAATTTCAGCTATGGATTCAAGGAAGCCGAGTCGTCGAAAGGATTGTCTAACCGTGAGGGATGCTAAGGAGTCATTGGTGACCAGATAGACCGGCCAAGTGTACCTGACGCAGTTGAAGCCCATTGACACAATCTGTTTGGCGATCGTATCCATAGGCTGCTTGCTGAGCCCTACGGTAACCATCAGTTCTGAGTGAAACGATCAGTTAACGCACCCAGCTTCACACGTCGTCCTCCCTCATCAACAATCCAACATGAATTCGTTGACAGGGGCAGGGGCATGACGATGGGAAAGAACATGAAGAGGAGGAGAATAGACGAGGAAACAAAACTCGCCATGCTGCTTTTGTTTTGACTTGAAGGAGAAGGAGAATAGAAGTTGAAGGAGAAGTTACTTGGGTGAATTGTTTATATAGTGGAACACGTGTATAATTCATTGTCCATAACAAAAGTAGAGACCGATTCTAAATACACTTGTTAATTATTTATTATTTGTAATTAGCCCTACTCTTGCTTGTTCATTACATTTTTAACTCTTAGGTCATAAATATACCGGTAAGGAGGACAGAAGATGGGCTATTTCAGTTTACATTTTTCTTTACCAGCTTTAGTATATAGTATAGGCTAGGGTCGTCGAGATGAGGGTATTACGCTCCCACTCTTGCAATGATATGATATTGCTTGTCGCGGTTTTTCCGTTTGCAATCGAAAATGCTATGCGGAAACGGGGAAAACAACACGAAATAGTAGTAGCTTTACAGCTTGGTTGATAAAAGCATGATTTTTTAAATTAACCCTCTCTCTCTGCAATGCAGCCATGCGGCTTCTTTAACTGCTCACCGGCCATCGATGTTTCCTTAGAGTGCAACTGATCTGGAGCTCAAGGACGACATTGCAACAAGCTTTGAGTTGATCACTGCAGTCTGCAAAATGCTCGTCTAACATCAAATAACCAAGCCATTGGCTTCACAATATTAAATAAGCACGAATTTTTGTGTCCGTTTGCTCTCTATGAAGTACTGCCCTTGAAACTTTGTAATACATTTAAACTCTTGTTTAATCATAGTACGATATTGAATTCTGAAAAACTGGATCGATTAATAACATTTAAACTACTATTACACTAGCAACTGAAACAGGCGACCTGATGAACAAGCATGGTTGAGGCAAAAACGTGATGAACAAGCATGGTTGAGGCAAAAACGTAATGGCGGTAGCCTAGAGTAGCCAAACCTTTCTATAAAAGGTAAGTTTAGAGTCCAAATCCTCCTACGCAAGTACTGAAACAAGCAAGGTCACTGGATTATACGAGAAAGTTTGGTAAACAGTCGGGGTGGATATGAAGTAAAAGCACGCCAATTGTCGGCAAGAAGGTCACGAGAACGTCCCGATAGTTGCCCAAGGATTACATTCTTGACACGAGTTGCAGCCGTTTCACCTGAACGTATAGCAAGTTCAAGGTACACTACAGCTTTCATCATTTCCCCTTCCTGTGCATTAATCATCGCAACTCGCATCAGTTTGGATAGCATAAACACAACAGTATTGCCACACAATTATGCCATTGAGAAGGAATATATTATTGATAACAAGCACACAGACAAAAAAACG